AGGGAGAGGACAGGGGCGTGGAGGGCGGGCAGGAGTACCTCTGGGCTGCCCGAGGAGGGTGTACCCTGCCTGGCTCTGCTCAGTGCAGTGTGGCATGTGGCAGACTCATTCGGTTACCCCAGGAAACCGTAGCTGTGTGAAGCGGCGCAGAATCGCGTGGGAGTTTGATCATCCCTGCTGGTGGGTGCTACCCGCTACTACGGGCTAATCTGCGCAGCCCAGGCCCTCCCTGCAGCTCACAGCTCCCTCGCTTCCCAGGCCTCTTTCTTTCACTGAAATGATTCTACATCTTTTAGGCTTTGGACTCTATCGCCTTTAATGTTGGGGGTCTTTCCCCCTCCCACTTTAGCTCACTTCATCTTTGTGCAAGAAAGATCACATGCCAGCTGTGGGGAAATAAGGATTGGCATTGTTCTGAAGGGACTGAAGGTAGGACATGAAAGGAAATAAGTCAGATTCACTTGGCTTAGGGTAGGGGCCTGGGCATTGGAAATTTTAAAAACTTTCCAGATATTATTGTGCAGCCAGGGGTGAAGACCACTGAATTAGATGATACTTGTATGTCCTCAACTCTTAAATTTTAAAAATATTATTGTACATAATTGTACCTACATATATGTATATTTTTCCTGCCAGAGAAAGGTGGAGTCTGTCTAGCATCATCTGCACCCCCCCCCCCCCCCCCCCCCCCCCCACCTATGCCTGCAATACATGAGTGTTCAATCTGGGCGCTGCCTGTGCCTCTGTGACCCAGGACAACCCCTTAACTTCTCTGTGCCTCAGTGTCCTCATCTGCAAAATGGGAATCTTAATAGTACCTACTTCATTTGGTTGTCCGAAGGATTAAACAGTCCTCATAGCTCCCTACGTCGTTATCTGACCTTGACTCACTGCTCATAACCAAACCTTTTGCTATGAAAATAGCGTCTCTTTTTAAAAAGGGGAGGGGGCGGTGTTCTTTCTAGAGGCATCTGGATCCTGAGAAGTGCAGGACCCCGCTGCCTTCTCTGTACTGAGAGTGTTTTCAAAGTTAACTTTGGGACCGTCCCCTGGGAGGGCAGGACGGTAAATTCAAAGAACCGGCCTAAGGGGATCTGAGCAAATTCCACCGTTGTGAATTTCTGGCGCTCCGTGAAAAATGCGCTTCGCATCGGGGCTTCAGAGGAGAAGCATTTGCAGACAGTTCCTGCCTCCTCCCCAGGCTCCCGATGCGGTGGTCCTGCCGCTTCCAGGAGCCCCAAGCAATTCCCCACCTTGTGTCCCCAGCGCCACAGGCCCCCGTCCCCCGCCCGCCTCCTCACCTATCGGATTTCCTGTGCGCATCGTCGCTCCTCCCACCTCCTCAATGCGGAGCCGAGCGGTGAGCCATCCTGGGCCTGGCCCAGCGCCTCCGAGGAC